AGCTGTGCCCCCAGCCGTGTGGTCATCGTGGCCTCCAGCGCCCACTGCGCCGGTCACCTGCGCCCCGACCGCCTGGGCCGCCCCTCCCGGGGGCTGTTCTCCTCCTTCCAGGACTACTGTGACAGCAAGTTGGCCAACGTGCTGCACGCCCGGGAGCTGGCCACGCGCCTGCAGGGCACACAGGTCACCTGCTACGCGGTGCACCCAGGTAGGACCCGCTGCTGCTCACTATCAGTGTCTGTCTGGGCTGTGCCCTGCACATCTTTGTGTCCTTTGTGTCCCTCTGTGTGGGGTAAGAACATGCTTTGTGGGGACAGCCCTGCACACAGGGCTGCTCTTGCACGGGGAGTGGTTTTGCATGGTGCAGCTTTTGCACAGGGAATTCCTGCACGTGGAGTATTGTCCTCTTGCATAGCATCTCCCTTTACATGGATCATCGCTTTGCACGGTGTCTGTTTATATGATCTGTCCCTTTGCAGTGTCTCTTTGCATGTGTCCCTGTGCACAGCACGTCCCTTTACACAGCGTGTCCCTTTGCATGGATCATCCCTTTTCACGTGTCCCTTTGCACATGTGTGTCCCTTTATATAGTGTGTCCCTTTACAGTGTTCCTTTTGCACAGCTTGTCCACTTGCATAGCTTGTCCCTGTGCACAGTGTGTCTCTTTTCATGGCATGTCCCTTTGAGTAGCATATCCCTTTGCAATGTGTGTCCTTTTGCACATGTCCCTGTGCACAGCATGTCCCTTTTCATAGTGTGTCCCCTTGCACACTTGTCCCCTTGCACAAGTGTCTTTGCACAGAGCACCATTGACTTCCACACACCCACCCTGGCCTTGCATGGCCAGGGCAGGTGTGGCAGCACCTGGGGACAATCACAGCTGTGCTGCCCATGCCAAGGCCACCCTAGTGTGACCAGTTTCACGTTCTGCACCGGAACAGCCATCTCCATGTGTGCCTTTCTGGACACGATGCTCTATATCTACTGTCTCTTTGCACAGGGTTTGTCAACACAGCGCTGTTCCGGCACGCACCGCTGTGGCTGAAGCCTCTGCTGCAGCCCCTGGCCTGGCTCCTGTTCCTGGATGCCTCTGAAGGAGCACAGGCAGTGCTGGACTGTGCCACACAGGATGGCCTCGAGCCCCTCAGTGGTCGATACTTCACTGACTGTGGCCTGCAGCAGCCGTGGCCACGGGGCCGTGACGACAGGCTGGCACGGGCACTGTGGGAGGGCAGCGAGTGGCTCGTGGGGCTGGGGCAGGCTGGAGGGGATGGTGAGGGACCCTCGATGCACCCTGCTGCTGCACAATAAAGGTGGTGGTGGTGATGGGAGAGCCTGTGGGATCCTGTGTGGGTGTGAAATGGGGGTGTGCAAGGGGCTGTAGCACTGTGGGGGCAGGTGGGCACGGTGAGGGACACCAGCCCTTGCATGCACACACACACACACACACACACACACTGCTGGACACACACTGCAGCACACAAACCCTGCCTTGCATATGGGTGTACATACTGCACTGGACACACACCCCTCCCTCCCTTGCACACACTCTAGCATAGCCCCACACACGCATACAGCAACAAACACACCTTTTGTGTTCCCGTGCACACTCATTGCAGTGTCTCTCACACA